TGCCTGCGTTTTATGGTACACTTTCCCGCACACACCTTGACAACGTACACCCGACTCTCCTCTGACGCCTTTTCGGCATTTCGCGCATTCTGACATCTTTGCACTCACTCAGCAGCCGCTAAGTATGTTTGGATGAATATATGTACATACGTATGTATGTACCATCAACCCAAATGCGCGCTATTATTTGTCTATTATGCTTATTTGTATTTTATTCTTATTTCGACGAAGCCAATGTCTACTTATTGGTTTAAATCGTTATATTTCACACTTTTAATCCAGTAATACTATTACTAACTTTGTAATATTGTTGTGTTTTAAATACCATTAGCAGAGCGATAGAAACACGTCCGTTCGCGATCGACTTCACGTGGTTTCGATTTTGTTAGCTTTTAACCATCAGTAGTTCCGAAAGAAAGAGAACTGAATTTATGCTGTGGGAGCTTTAAAGCATGGCGTTAAAAAGCCCAAAATTTTAATTAAAATCCGTGCAGCTGTTTCTGAGTAGAGAGATGTCTCGCATAGTGTCGGTTTTTAATGTCATCAAACTTCAAATCATCCTGTACCGATAAAAAAGTCCTAACTTCAATAAATCGTATCCTATATCCACTCCGCAGCACCTGGGTTCAAACCCTGGTCAAGGCAACATCCCTCGACAGGCAGTGAAAAACCTCCGATTGAATTTCTGCCATGAAAAACATCTTCTCATAAAAATACAATCGCCGTTCGGAGTCGGCGCAAAACTGTAGGACCCTCCGCTTTGTGTGACAACATCAGGACGCACGCCACAAGTCTTAGGAGAAGCTCGGCCAAACACTAACATATGTGTAAGCGCCAATCTATTATTATTATTATTATTATTATTATTATTATTATTATTATTATTATTATTATTATTATTATTATTATTATTATTATATCTACAGGCCAAGATTTTTACTTCGTCCTATATTTGAAATTCGAAACAACGATGAAAATGAAATGACCTTCACAAAAACCTCCTTCTCGTTTAATATACATACATATATACTTAGTTAGATCAGTACGACTTTTCGAAAAGGTGGCAAGCCCAATCAACGATGTTTTCAAACTAAAGCTTTTATAGATCTCTTTCGATTGACACCCATATCTTAAAATTTCATAAAACTTGTGTATAAGTTCACTAAATTCGACTATTCAAACAGCTGGAAATCCTTTTCAAAAGTATTTTCAAATTAAAATCTTCTTAAATCTTTTTTGTCTAACATTGTGATACATATTTCAATTAACTGAAGAATTAAGTTGAATTTGATTTTTCAAGCATGTGGCAACCGTTCTTCATTGATATCATATTTTCATTTATATCTATCTTTTAAAAATTCATATTACTTTCCAAATATTTTGAACGTAACTTTTTAAACATGTGGCAATCCTCTTCAAACATTATAAATTCTCAAACCAAAGATATCTTAACACTCTTTCGTTTGATATCCGTATTTTAATATTTGATATAGTTTGTATAGAAGTTAATTAAACTCGACTTTCTAAATAAGTGGCAACCCTCTTTAAGCTAAAACCTTCCTGAATTTAATAGTTTATTTAACTTATGAATTAAGTTGAATTTAATATTTAAACGTGTGGCAACCACCTAAATATAGTTTAGAAATAAAGTGTTTTCAAACCCATTTCCATTGATACCAATATTTGAATAATTTATTTAACTTATTGAAGAATTTGAATTTAACTTTTTAAACGGGTGGCAACTTTCTTAGAACACTTTAAAAATACTCTTAATGTTAGAGTAATGACTTTTTAACACTCTTTTGTTTGACATGTTTTAACATTTCATTGTGTATAAGTGAACTGAATTCGCCTTTTCAAACAGGTGATAACTCTGCTCAAATTATTTAAAAACTTTTACTTTCTTGAAGTCTTTCCGTCAATTCAATTGAAATTGAATTTAATTTTTAACAGGTGGCACCCTTCCTACAGTGAAGTTAAGATAAAAAGCTTTTTAAAACCATTCGAATTGATATCAATTTGTTAATAATTGGTTAACCTTTTTATATATTTTTAACTTCACTTTTTAAAAGGTGGCAACTTTTTTCGAAAAAGAATCTAAAGCCTCATTGCACATCTACAGTCCGAGCCCTTTAATTTGCCACCTGACCTTTGAAAATCGAAGGAAAGGTGCGGATTTGATGGCACTGATATTAAATAATTTGAGTGTAATTGTTTAACAGGTGGCAACTCTCTTCGAAAAAGTAAAGCCTAGTTGCAAATCTCCAGCCCAGGCCCCTTAATTTGACACCTCACTTTTGAAAATCGAACGAACGGTACGGATCTGGTGGAATTTATTATTAAATAATTTGAGTTAATTTTTTTTTACAGATGGAAACCCTTTTCGGAAAAGTAAAACCTTGTTGCACATCCACAGCCGGACCTTTAATTTGGCACATTTGCATATCTAACGAACGGTGCAGATCTGATGACCTGGACAAAAATCCCTTCGCGTATTATATATATAGATAGTAAGGTAGAACCACTGAGAGGTACTTTTAAAGTTCTTGACGTTTCCAAGCAATTTAATTTGTAAATTTACTCACAAACTCACACGCACATTTTTATTTTCAATCTCAAGCAACAATAATTTTGAACAATTGAATTTTTTTTTTAATTTTATATGATTTTAAAATGCTGGCAAACTTCCAAAAAATCATGGCCGACAAATTGAGAGAACGGTTCTACCTTGCTAAGTTTTTATCCTGCTTTAAAGCTTAGGACATAGTTAATTGCCTATACAATACCATAAAAAATATTAATTTGTGCACGATATGTACAACTGAAGTTTTTGTATTGTTGACAATAGACGTGAAAACCGAAATGAACGTGCACCCCTGTGCTAAAAGTTTGTCTGTATAACACCGACCTAACAAATTCTACGCACAATGCATGAACCAAAAATACAAGTTCACGTAAGAACGCGACGTTGTATTTGTAACTGGTTTTGAGAAAAAAGTTTGCGAAAGCGGGTTCGTCAGCTGAGCGTTTGTTTACATCACAAGAACTACTGTTTTACACTTTTATTTAAGTAAAGAAGAGTTAATTCAACATGACAACACCTTTTAATGCATCATTTTACCTAAATTGTGCGTTTAAAGTGGCTGACAATAATTTTGGCTAATTTTGGTTTTCGTTGTTTTCTTTGCCCTCATAAAATCGACTTTTTTCACTCTCTTGTTCTTACGCGACCTTGAGTCTTTCGTTCATGTGCACAATGGGCACATTCAGAAGCAGCGTTGCCGTTTTATAATTTTCGAGCGTAGTGAAATGAGTGTTTTTGGGTTTTCCGTAGTGTCAAAGTAAAAACGCTGGCCAAACTCATTTGTGTTATAAACATACACTTGCCTGTGTGCATATATCTGCGTACACCTGATAATTTTATATATTAACAATGTTTTGCAAGCTAAATTTTTTTTTGTTTTTTTTTACAGAAATGGGGTTTATGCTATAAAAAACTATAAAAATCAAAGTTTCTAACTTTATACAAAATTTAGGAAAGTTCAACGAATTTTTTTCAAAACTTTAAACTTTTTAATAAGTATGCATAACCCATTCAATTTTACTATAATAATGTGCAAATTTGCAGTGCCTAAAGATTCGCATTGATTTTATTTATATGTTTTGCAGACACAGTTATCTCCATACAAAGTATGAGCGAAATTTATTTTGTATAGAAGAAAGTTTATTTTCTATAACGATGAGTTGATGATCAATTTCAATTTTATGTTGTTATTGTT